CTCGCAGAGAACGCTAGGAAGAGGCTGGGTAACGATCACGTTGAGCGTTGAAGCCACCCTCGACATGGACCACGCTGGTGATTTCAAGGCGACAACAGAAAATGGATAGGAAAGGGCCGGAGTAGGAAGGTTGTGGGAAGGGAGCTGTTGGCATTGGGTGAAGGGTTGGGCTATCAGAAAACCCTTGGATGGCCCAGAGTAATAAATGGGTGTTAGCTTGGGTCATCGGGCTTGACCGAACTTTCCGCAAGAAACTTTAGATCTACATCCCAGTGTCGTCCCCATCGGCGCAGAGCAGCGGAGTTCGTACGAACGTTGAAGGCCTGGTATCTGTCGTTTGCGCTATCCTCTTGGGGCTGGTGGGTTGAGAGCGACCTGGGTCCAGGTGGCAAGAATAGGAGTTTCTACTGTCGAGCAGCTTGGCATGTTGACCCGAATATGGACCTCAGCTTCCACAGCAAATGCCAACGAAAGCTGTGGTGAGTAATGGAACAAGATTTCTTCTTCCTGGGCAAAAAAAGAGGACGAACGAGACCATGGAGCAATCGGTCAGGTTCGAAGTGAACACCAGGTGGAGGGAAGGCGAGGATGAGATTTCCAGCGCGATGGGATATAGGGGGGCGGGGGGGTTCGGTACAGAATCCTGATGATCTAGAGGACTAGGAGCGGAGCAGAGCGTCACCAGACGGAGAGAGAGGCCGTAAATCGTCGTGATGGTATTGTTGAGAGTGCAACCGTCGAACGCCGTCGCCCCGGGGGCTGCCAAATGCCCCGATCATGCCCAATCACACAGTCTATCCGTATCGTACAGGTGCTGAGCCTCAATTCTCGCAATCGTCTGCGACGCAGCAGTAATCGTCATCGTTTCGTGGTATCGTCGATGTCGCATTTATTGTCTGGGGAGGTCAGCCGGGTGTCTGAGGATCGATCTTAAGGGGATGCGAACACAAGAATCCATTCCGCCCAGTTGCTCGAGAGGAAAGTGACCGCCACCTGCACCATAGTTAGCATCAGATGAGCCAGGCGCGGAACTAAGAGAGCTCCTAGCGGAAGAAACGGGGATTTCTCACTCCGAAAGCGGCGACGCTCTTGACGACGGCGGCGTTCTCGGACGAGGTAAGCGTATCGTAGGTCGACCGGAAGTAGCCCTTGGGGGCTAGCCTTCGGCCTCCTGTGACGTACTTGGGAGGCATTGTGGTGAGCGTGGATGATTGGCGATGCGGTGGGACAGAGTTTGGTTTTCGGCTCGAGGAGACAAGACGACGAAGAAAAGCTCTCGATCAAGATTCTCGAGCAAAATCTGGCTTGGCATGGAACAGGGACCCGTCTACGGCCCGTGCGCTGGGGACGCCACACGTCTACTAAATCACCCCACCACCATCCTGGCCTTCCATGTCTCTTGTAATCCTCCCGTCTTCAAGCTCCCACCATTCAAATACCTACCGACCGATACCGATGATGCGATGCGCTCTTGAGAAACTAACGAAACTACTCAATCCACGAAACGAGAATGGCTGAGGATATTCACATGAACACGGGAGGTGCTGGAGGCTTTGTTGTGCCCTCACTGCCCTCCCCCGCCCGGAGCACGACGTCGACGACGCGACCCAACGCCCCCGGCCTTCCACACCCCCGAGGTCACGCCCTTCGAGCTGGCTCCGCGAAAGAAGGCAAGGTCCGATCCTTTTACAAGGACCGAATGGAACAGATCGACCGTCAGTTCCTCCAGAAACTCGCCGACGACGGAACAGGATACAAGTCGATGGCCGAGGTCTGCAAAAGCTTGGACGAGGTTGTCAACATTGTGTGGCTCTCTGGAACCCGTAAGTGCCACCTATGCTCCCATACGATAAAACACGTCTGACGCATCTCCAGCAACCCTTCAGATTCCCTTCCTCCTTAACATCGCGAACGAATTCAACAGTTTGGTCAAGGCGTTTCCACCGTCCCCCGCCAGCACCTTCGCGCTTTTGCGAAAGCTCGACCACTGCTTCGCTAGTTTGCTGCAGGGGCAAGATCTTGATACAAAGGAGACGCTGCCCGGGTTTGAGAATGGCCTGCGGGCTGGCATGTCTCGAACCGACATGGTCCGCTGCAAATGTACCGTGCTGGAGACGCGTGAAGTGATAGTAAAGGTCATGGAAGGGAAGCCAGAGGAAGAAGAAGGAGAAGAAGCTGAAGCCGAGGTGAGGCAACTGCCCACAGACGAAGAGACCGACAGCGACTGGGACGGCCCAGCCGATTGGGATAAACCTACCGCGGGGAAGATCAAGGATGACGAGGATGATAATCCCATCCACATGGATGTGGCTCGGGTCTACGAACATACCCTCGTTCAGCTCGGCGAAACCTTGTTCAAGGAGGTCTCGCTGACTGATTTCGAGATGAAGACAGAGGACTGAGGCGGCTGTGCGTCCTTCAACACGAGCCATCCCTTGCGGTTCGTGCTCCCATCTCGGGGCTTGAGAACGCCATCCCACCGGATCCTGTCTTCCGCCTGACATATGATCTGCGGCTGAGCTCGATGTCGAATCCGCGCAGAGCCAATAGGCTGGCCTCCCTCTACGCACTATTACCTAACTTGCGAGGAGTGCTGCTGCCCGACCTCGGCCTGGCAATGGGAGCCTCTGTGGCTATTAGTGTCTGCTTTGGATCCCCCCCCTTTCCGCCAGCACCGCCAAATTTTCTTTTCGTAATCCGAAGACTTTCTTTCCCTTGATGCACTCGCCTTCCAATCCAACATGTCTTCTAGCTCTGGTTCGGGTTCATACCCCGCCCGAGGTGCCGCATTTGGTTCTTTTCCCAGTAGACGCAGTGTCGTGCATGGCGTCAAGGGGATTGTGAGCACAGTCTCTCCGCTTGCCAACGATGCTGGCCTCAGGATTCTGCGAGAGGGTGGCAATGCCGCAGATGCTGCTGTCGCTGCCGCTGCCGTCCTTGGGCTTGTGGACCCCTCGATGTCGGGGATAGGGGGTGACGCCTTTGCTCTTTTCTACGACCACAAATCGAAGCAAGTTCATTCATTGAATGGCTCGGGACGCTCGGCTGCAAACGCAACCGTCGATGGTATCTGCCGCGATCTCAAGATTGACGATCGGACTTTTGCCGTCATCCCGACGACCTCGGCGCACGCCGTCACCGTCCCGGGGGCGGCAGCCGCATGGGTGGACGTCGTCGAGCGGTTCGGATCTGGTCGAGTGTCGTTGACGCAAGTTCTCGCCCCGGCCATCGAGATGGCGGAGGGCGGGTGTCCGATCAGCGAAATCGCCAGCTACCACGTGAGTACGGGATGCACACGTGTCGAGAAATCGAGCTGACCCGCGGGTTCAAGTGGGTGGAATATGAGGATGAGCTTCGGAGCAAGCCAAATGGTGTTGATCTTTTGAAGAAGGATCCAAATGCCCAGGGCGGATATCGGGCACCCAGGGCCGGGGAGCTGTACCGGAACCCGCTGTTGGCAAACACAATGCGACTCTTGGGCCAACGTGGTCGTTCTGGGTTTTATGAGGGGCCTGTTGCTGAGGCCATCGTCACGATCGTGAATGCTTTGGGAGGCTACCTGAGTCTAGATGATCTCCAGCAGCACGGCCAACGCGCAAGTGAAGTCTCGCAGCCCGTTTCGATTCGACTCACCCCCGGCTCCACCGGGGACATCAACCTTTGGGAGCACCCACCCAACGGACAGGGCATTGTGGCTCAGATGGCCCTGGGGATTCTGCAAATCCTTGAAAAGCAAGGCAAGGTTCCTCGCTTTGGGCCACAGGATCACAACTCTGCCGAATACCTGCACGCCGTCGTCGAGGCTCTGAGGATAGCCTTTTCCGACGGCACCTGGTTCATCGCGGATCCTGCCGTCTCCAACTCGACGGAGATGTTGATCTCAGAGGCGTACCTCACCGAACGAGCGAAGCTGTTCGACGCCACGCGCGCCGCCACCAACCTCCGGCCCGACTCGCCCGCCTACAAGACCAGCGATACGATATATCTAGCCGTCACCGACGCCGAAGGCAACGCCTGTTCCTTCATCAACAGCGTCGCCGACTACTTTGGCAGCCGCATCATCCCCCCGGGCGTCGGTTTCGTCCTCCAGAGCCGCGGCGCCGGCTTCCACCTCCACCCTGCTGACCATCCCAACATCTACGCGCCCGGCAAGCGGCCCTACAACACCATCATCCCGGCGCTCGTCACGAATGCTGACGACGGCACCCTGCACACGGTCCTGGGCGTCATGGGCGGCGCCATGCAGCCGCAGGGCCACGTCCAGGTGCTGCTCAACATGATCCGGTTCGGCATGAACCCGCAGGTGGCGCTGGATGCGCCGCGCGTCTGCATCGGGGTGACCCTACCGGGGAAGTCGACGGATCCGAGCAAAAAGGTGGATGAGACGGTGTACCTGGAGGAGGGCATTGGCGAGGAGGTTGCGAGCGCGCTGGAGGGGTTGGGGCATGAGGTCAAGGTCGTCAAGGGGATGGGGAGGGCGCTGTTTGGACGGGGGCAGGTCATCAGGGCGCATCACGATCCTGTCACTGGGGAGAGGGTGTACTCTGCGGGGAGTGATATGCGTGGGGATGGTGCCGCTGTGCCTTTTGTGTAGGGGGGCTCGAAGGGGCTTTCAGATCTAGTGGTTGATTGGGGTGTGTTGCCAGACAAGATGCCTATTTAGCTACTCTCTCCTACAGACAGCAACGACACAGAGCTTTTCCGCCCGCTGCTTTCGAAGCATTGATTCGATCTTGAGATTCTTCCAGTGACACAAAATGCTTCTTGGTTCAGCGCGGTTGGGAATAGGGGCTCGTCCAACCTGGAGGTTCCCATGCCGGCCCACTGCCAGCCCCGGCTTCGATCAGATGCTGAAACCCTGAATGCAGCGTCGATGTGGGAGCCTTTGCCGCCCAAAGCACCGCCGACACAAAGAAAATGCCCCACAGTTTATCCGCGGTCTGGGTACACCCAGTGCGTCATAGAGGCCAATTGCAACCCTGGATTCCATCAATCAAGTAGCGGGTTTAGCTCAGTTGGGAGAGCGTCAGACTGAAGTAGCACTTCAATCAGCAGATCCATCTGCAATCTGAAGGTCATGTGTTCGATCCACATAAACCGCAATCTTTTTGCCTCTCAGACATCATGTCTGCCCAAACAAGGTCGACTTAATTTGCTTGTTTTATTTTTCTCGTTGAATATAGGGGTGAGCTCGTCATGCCGCCCTTGCTTTTGGGGAGGAGGAAGAGCATTGCGAGCCTGGACAGTGATGTATTTGTTTTGGTGTTTTGACTTGAAAAGGGGTAGCAAACTGGATGAGAGGCATGCTGCACCCCTGAATACTGTAGCTATGTTCTCCGACTGGGTGACCGACTGGTCACGTCGCTCTGGTATTTGTGTTTCTAGCCCTGGTTCTAGAAAATATCCGGCGTCTGCCTCAAGACTCTATCATTGTGGTGCCCTGCACTGCACCAAAGGGGCAAGCCCTGCAAGATTAAGTCGATTATGATGATAGGTACATGAATATATGCCGACATAGCTGCGTAGACCGTACTTTGCTAGTATATGTAGATGTCGGTGTTGATGCATGGTTTCGAACGTGGCTTGTCTTTCCGCCAGTATATACTGAAATCTTCTGATATTCTTTTGTTACCTTGTGTATGCTCGACAACCTTTGCCATTCCTCTCATGTGCTAGTGTGCTGGGTCTTTTGTATTGGATTCAGATACGTAGAAGAACATCGGCTTTTACCACAGGACATGTAGGTACTATGGAGAGAATTATTTCGGCCACAGGATCGAGGTCGTCGACGGGCATAAACGCGCATGCAAGTCGTCTCATGGCATACGTTGTGGCGACCCTCCATGACGAAAAACTTCCACAAAATATGTCGCCGTTTTATCCCCCCATATGTAACAAATCCTTATCATCACACCCCGTACCCCTTCCACGTACATCCCACAGCATCTCCGTCGTGCAACATCACACCCCCTATCCACGCTCCCCGACAAGCGCCAAAGGCAAGACACACGACCAATCACGCCTCACCGCGCTCGCAACCACAACATACAAACCTACGCCCACGAGATCGCGACGATACCACCGCGTCCATGACAGCATCCGTACCGGGCCATCACCACCCCTGACACCAACCCCCCGGAACCGCGGACAGGCCACCATGCCTTCCCGCACCTCCTCCCACCGCACAGCAGACGGCCTGGGGTCCGACGTCAGCAAGCTCCTGCGCAATATTGAAGACTGGGAGGACTCGGTCTCCTCGCACAGCGCTCTCCGTTCCGGGCGCAAGGGACGGACGGCGCACTTCGAGGTCCTCGTCGTGCCCTCGAACGTCGACGAGGTTGACGAGGATAACGACTTTGACTTCCTGCCCACGTCGACGCAGATGGCCACCACTGGGTCTTCCGTGTACTCGGACATGTACTCGGACACGTACTCGGAGCCGAGCGTCGATTACTCGACGGCGTCGGGGGCGAGGTCAAGCTCGGGGTACAGCTGCGGGTATAGCGATGGGTCGGGGTCTGTTGGGAAGAGGTCCGAGTTCAGCCGCAGCGGCATGGAGAGCTCTAGTTCGCGGAGTTCGGCGTCAGGGCGGACGGAGAAGCATGGGTCTCGGCATGGGTCGTCGCGTTGTGGATCCAGTCCCGGCTCCCACAGGTCCGAGTCCCGACACTTGGGCCTGCACTCCACCGGGTCCCATCACGGCTCGGGCGCCAGCGTCGAACCCTACTTCGAGCCCAAGCTCGGACCAAAGTACGAGGCCAAATATGAGTCCAAGTACGGCAAGAAGTACGGCAAGAAGTACTCGGAAGCCGGGTCGTCTTTCTCTCCGGGTTCGACGACGAGCAGTTCCCAGCTCAGCAGTCCGACTTCCTCCACCAGCGGTAGCAAGCCGCGTTCAAGTCCGCAGTCGTCTGCACCGAAGGCGGTGGAGGCGGGGCGGCCCCATGGCTCCGGCGGATCCGGCGGCGGCGGTAGTAGGCGTAGTTCCCACAAGCCGGCTGCCGCTTCCAAGGCCCCCGAGGCGGCGCCGGGACCGGGAGGCAGGAAGAAGACCGGAAAACCGCCCAGCGCTAAAGTGCCACCTTCCGAGTCCGGGTCTCATGGCCATAAGTTGGGCGGGGGCAGCAAAGCCGGCTCGCTTGCCTCCCACTCGGGAGCAGGATCCCACCACGGCTCCCATAGCTTCATGATGAGAGGGGCTAACAATTCTGGCTCGGTTAAAGCCCCGTCTGTCGCTGCGGCAGAGGCAAACTCGTCTGAGGAGAAGGCATCGAAGAAAGCCACCCACTCCAAGGTACTTGTTCCTTCATTCATCTTTGTTCGGTTGATCGTAGAAAAAAAGCTGATGGTATTCTAGAAAGGTCCAGAACCTGCCGTCCCAGCCGCCGAGAAAGCCACAGAGCCGGGTCCGGGGCCAGGAGGGAAGCAAGGCAAGCAGAAGAAGGGGAAAGGCGCCGCTCCGGCTCCGGCATCAGAGAAAGCAGCGATAGAAGAGGAATCCGCGGCAGAGCCAGAGAAGGCCCCTTCTGAGGCAGGCTCGAGGAATAGCAAGAAGAGCGGAAAGTCCGGCAAGAGCGAGAAGGAATCGCCCCCTCCTCCGCCGTCAGAGAAGGCCGCCTCGGAGGCCAGTTCTAAGAAGTCAAGCAAAGCACCCTCGGAGAAAGCCCCTTCGGAAAAAGCCCCCTCGGAAAAGTCCAGCAAGGCACCCTCCAGCAAAGCAGCCTCAGAAAAGGCGCCTTCGGAAAAAGCCCCCTCAGAAAAAGCCTCCTCAGAAAAGGCGCCTTCGGAAAAAGCCCCCTCAGAAAAAGCCTCCTCAGAAAAGGCGCCTTCGGAAAAAGCCCCGTCAGAAAAAGCCCCCTCAGAAAAAGCCCCCTCAAAAAAAGCCCCTTCGGAGAAACCATCCTCAAAAGCTCCCTCAGAGAAACCCCCCTCTCCCAAAAAGGAAGACAAAAAGGAAGACAAAAAGCAAGACTCAAAGAATGAAGATTCAGAAGAAACACACCCCTTCGTCGAGTCCCTCAAGTTCCAAAACATCCTCCTGCGTGCAAAGAAGCGTATCACGGGCGAGGACGAGCCGCGCCGGTACCTGACGCGGAGGCGGGGCCTGGACGGGCAGCACGTGTACGGCGTGGATTATTTTGTGGATGGGAAGAGGGAGAAGGGGACGGAGATTCGGAATGTGCCGAGGTGGTGGGCGTATTTGCATACGTAGGTGTTGGGGGAGGGTTTGATGGGAAGGGGGGTCGGGAATGTCTTGTTGAGGCGGGCGTGAGCGATGCTTTTGCTGGTGGGTGTTGTAGGAAATGAGTGCGGGCGTTGGTGAGGTTGAAGATACAAGGCTCCTTCATTGCTGTCATGCTGCTGGGTGTTGTGCCGCTGCCTGGTCTGGTCCAGCCCCATAGGTGTTGTGGTATTGGTTGTTGGTGGGATTCATCTAGACGAGTTCGGAGTTCGAGGTAGTGATGAGCCTAAGATTGGACTTGCCACGGAGTGCGATGGCTCCAGGAAGAGATTTGAGTTCAAGTTCACAGCTGATACGATTCGATTTCCATCTTTTGTGTTTTCTGCGAAACGAGAGCAAGAGGCTGCGCTGATGTGGTGGTTGTTAGTTTTCGTTGTCGGCGTATGGAAATAAAAATGCAAGCTCATGGAGTTATCAGATAGCAGATGACGCAGTCATTCGGCGGTCTGGTGGTTGCGTTGTTTCTAATGAGAACCCGGGTGGGGATTTGTGATGGCAGCGGCGAAGTTGGTGACGAACGCGAAAAGGTTGAAAATGATGCCGCTTTTTCTCCATTTTACTGCGCTTTCGCTGTTGGATTATGTGTTGTAGGTAGTGTTACTCACAATCCCTATCATCCAATAACCAGGCAACTTGGCCGAGTGGTCTAAGGCGATGCACTCAAGGATTTTCTCCTTGCCCCATCTAATGGGGTAGATTTGCATTATCGAAAGATGCGTGAGTTCGAATCTCACAGTTGTCAAATTCTCTTTTTGCCATGGAGCCATCCACATACAGAGTGGATGCTAGGGTGGAGATGGCTTCGTTTTTGGCCGAACACCGAACATTGCAGGGTCATAGCACCGAGGACAGATGAAGACGACATGGAGCCATATTTTTGAGATATTTCGCGCCGCTTCAACCCCTCACACCTTCCTCCTCACCAGCCCCCTCCAGAAGTCAAAGCTATTCTCGTCGCTCTGCAGCGCCCACACCTTTCCCGTCGGCCGCAGCGCGCCATTGATGCCATCGGCCCGGAGCTCCTCGGCCTTGAGCATGCCCCAGTCCGTCGTGATGCCCAGCACCCGCGCCTGCACGCCGCCCTCGGCCTCGAGCGTGACGACCTGGTCCGAATGCAGCCAGTAGCGGTAGTACCTCCCCTCGAGGTCCCGCGAGAACCCTGAGTGGAGGAACTCGGCGTACAGGGCCTCGAGGCGCGTCAGCATCCGCGCGAGCAGGCGTTCGATCTGGAAGGGCGGCAGGTCCTTGCCGCCGACGAACGGCAGGAGCGCGTCAAGGCTGGTGGTCGGGCGGCCGTTATTGGTGTTGACGCCGATGCCGAGGACGATCTGGTAGTTGCCAGCCGAGTAGGCGCAGTTGGCGAGGATTCCGCCAATCTTGACGTAGGCGGTTTGGTCGGGCTTGGTAGGGTCGCGGGCGTAGATGTCGTTGGGCCACTTGAGCTTGACAGGGAGCTTGGCGTAGGGGCCGACGTCGTAGGACTGGATGGCTTCGACGGTGGCAATGGCGGCGAGATATTGGATGAAGATGATGGGGCGGGTGGCGGCGAGGTGGGCGGGGTGGTTGATGACGGTGGAGAAGAGTAGGCTTCCGGCTGGGGCAACCCAGACATTGGCGCCTCTGCCTCGGCCGGCGACCTGGGTGGTGGCCGTGAGAGTGAAGCCCGTGGGGAGCTTGGAGAGGAGTTTGTGGTTTCTTTGCGTTGTTAGGGCTGACTTGGAACTGGGGAAGAGGCGGGGGCTCACCTTTCGAGCATCGTGTTGGTGCTAGTGATGACCTCTCCGTACAGCAGCATATTCCCCCACTCCTCTGCTTGAGGCTCCTTTTCTCTAAACCTTTGCAGGCTAGAGTAGTACACGG